AGAGTTACTCGTCGGGACATGTGACTGAATATCGTGACATGGTTCGCGATCCATGCGACGGCCGCGAGCAACGGATGGAACCGACCGGAACAATTTTAATGAAGATGATCTTCGTCGCCAGGAAGCCCCATCAGCAGTTGAGGAGACAATCCAGGTACAGTTTTGTTTTTGTTTCGTTTTTATATTCCACCGAAAACACGTTCCATCGCGGACGTTTGTTCTCCGCGACGAGAATAGAGTTTCTATTTTAACCTTACAACGTTCCTCCATTTCGCTCTACACTCGCGATTTTCGTGTCAAAAATTACCCCAAAACGTGTGGAACTCCTATCTTCGACAGCAAAATACCCAGTCACAGGTAGTATTATAATTTTTACACGAAAAAAAGTATAAAAAGGTTTACTTATTTGTTTCTTGGCATATTTACAATAATGAATACTTCTCTCCAGGACTTTTGCTGAGCAAATCGTTTCTTTTTATACATATAAAACCTATCTAGTACATTCCTGTACATTTAATGTTCGTAAGAATTTAAAAAATCGCAATATCTCCAAACGATTTCGTATTTTGATAGTAGATGGAATACTTTCTGTAGTAGAACGATAAAAGTGACCGATAAGATGGCGGAATGAATGAGTTCGGGATCCGATAAGTGATCCATAACGAGAATATCGCCGTCTAAAAAATTTCGTAATGTTTAAAGAAGAGAACTTTTCTCCTGTTCGGTTTGGCCAATTGGACGTAATAACAGTGAAATATTGAATCCGAGCGTAAACTGCAATTTAATGGAGTCTCTGGCACGAATGTCTGCAGGACATAGAAGACCCGATCGCGTTCCAAGTATACACGTGAACGAAGAAAATTCACCCAAGAAGGGAAACACGACGTGGGTACCGAAGGGTACGCGTCCCTGAGCCCTGTTTCGCGGGACTTGCGCGGATCAACGATAGTGATTGGCGATTACGTTAACCAAACACCGCGGTACACGCCCCTGCAATTTGCCCGGGGATCATCTTCCCCTAATCGCCGCGCTAATAACAGGATTACGGAGGCCTGGCTGCGGAGTCGTATACTTATCCCTAATTCGTTGTATCGTTATTAATATATATAATACAATTGAGAACGTCTCGTGCTGCGATAAGGGGGCTACAACCACGGCCGGGGCACGCGCGAAACGCAAACGAAACGCGGAGGAACTTAATTTTCCGCGAAATTTTCAAATCAAACAAACAAAAATCAAAAATCAATTTTCCATTAAAATAGCCCTTTTTATACATTGCAAATTTTATTTTTAAGATAAAATAATGTATTAAGACAAATATTTCACTGTAAATATAATAAAGACGAAATGAACTTTATATATTTTTAAATACATTTAAACAGAATAACAAACAGATAAAAAACATTCACAAAGAAATAAAATTTGTTTAAATAACTGGTATTATTCATTTTGAAAACAAATTATCTCAAGAAAGAGCACTCAGGAGCAGATCAAATTTATAATGATTCAAAATAAATGCAAAGAAATAATTTTAGTTTAAAAGTTAAAGAATTATCCATATCTTGATATGCGAGAATTTTGAATTATTAGAACTAAAGCAGAACGCCTTAAACTTATTTTCAAATTTATTTAAAATTAAAACCATTAAATTTATTCCAATTTCTAAGTTAATTATAAGAACAGATCAAATTTTTTTTAGAAAATAATCTTTGAAAATTGAATGTTTTATATACTATTTAAATTCTAATCAAGCTTAAAAAGCACGAGTTATAATACTCTAAGCTTCTGAAAGATGATAATAGAAAAGAAAATTCTTCAACGTGTAGTTATAACGAAGTGTAGTGAACGAAGATGATCAATGTAATTTGAATAAGTAGCGTGCGTGTATAACTACATTTAATTTTAAACGACTTTGTTTACTTTTTTTATTTTAATGCGATCGTCTATACCCAGTCCAACTTTTACTTTAACGATCTTCATTTCTTTTGTACCATGACTAACGTGTGAAAAAATATGCAGACAACCATTTGTGCATACATAATTAACTTATTCTACTTTTGCTCGTGAACTGCTCTAACCTATCTGTTTACGCCGCGAAGTGGAAAAGAAACCAACGTAAAAACAACGCCGCGTAAACTTGAATTTCCACGAAAGAAGAAATCGCCACAATATACAATGTCAAGAGATTCAAACTCTAATTAGTAACAGTCTTGCTGAAAACTTTGATTCCGATCGCGAGGAATGAAATTGCTCCCGAAACACAGTTCGCACGATTGTTGCATTTTAAATTTAACAAAATTAGGCCATCGTATGTATATTAACGATCACGGTTACGACCCAATTATGAGACAATCGAGAATGTGTACTTTCGAAAAAGAAGAGAAACATCGGTACTGACATTACCGTATAAAATATACAAATAATGCACCCAATGACTCTTCACGAAGATCGATATAAAACTTTCGGCCTTCGTGGACGATTCTTTAAGATCCTTTGCTCAATTTTCATGTATATTTATAGGCATAATTAGTAAAAAATAAATTACATGAATAATTCAGTACAGAGGTTGTTTCAGGTCATTTACGTCATCCTATTCGAAGCTACTTAAAGCTCTCGCCAGTTATAATTAGCCGGCAAGCTTGCACTTATTTTGCATTGAACACGATTTGTAAACATCCTGCCTTTCTCTTTATTCGTTAAACCCGCCCTGCGTAATAAAATAGGCCGAAAATGTGGAATAAAACCACCATGGAAAAGCTAACGAATGTAAATCAAGAATCACCCCATTTGTGATCGGTTGTAACCAAGTTGCAATTGTAGTAAAAAGATCGATTTTCTGGAAAATCGATTCCAAATGTGTTGGATAGTTGAAGTCAGCATGGAAAAACTAACAAATGTAAACCAAGAATCACACCATTTGTAATTGGTTGTAACCAAGTTGTAATCGTATTAAAAAGATCGATTTTCTGGAAAATCGATTCCAAATGTGTTGGATAGTTGAAGTCAGCATAGAAAGACTAAGGAATGTAAATCAAGAATCACTTCGTTTGTAATTAGATGAAATCAAGTTGTAATTGTATTAAAAAGATCGATTTTCTGGAAAATCGATTCCAAATGTGTTGGATAGTTGAAGTCAGCATGGAAAGACTAAGGAATGTAAATCAAGAATCACTTCGTTTGTGATTGATTGTAACCAAGTTGTAATCGTATTAAAAAGATCGATTTTCTGGAAAATTGGAATAGTTGGAGTCAGCATGGAAAAGCTAACGAATGTAAATCAAAAATCACCTCGTTTGTGATTGGTTGTAACCAAGTTGTAATCGTATTAAAAAGATCGATTTTCTGGAAAATCGATTCCAAATGTGTTGGATAGTTGAAGTCACCATGGAAAGACTAACGAATTTAAATCAAGAATCACTTCGTTTGTAATTAGATGTAATCAAGTTGTAATTGTATTAAAAAGATCGATTTTCTGGAAAATCGATTCCAAATGTGTTGGATAGTTGAAGTCAGCATGGAAAGACTAAGGAATGTAAATCAAGAATCACTTCGTTTGTAATTAGATGTAATCAAGTTGTAATTGTATTAAAAAGATCGATTTTCTGGGAAATCGATTCCAAATGTGTTGGATAGTTGGAGTCAGCATGGAAAGACTAAGGAATGTAAATCAAGAATCACTTCGTTTGTGATTGATTGTAACCAAGTTGTAATCGTATTAAAAAGATCGATTTTCTGGAAAATTGGAATAGTTGGAGTCAGCATGGAAAAGCTAACGAATGTAAATCAAAAATCACCTCGTTTGTGATTGGTTGTAACCAAGTTGTAATCGTATTAAAAAGATCGATTTTCTGGAAAATCGATTCCAAATGTGTTGGATAGTTGAAGTCACCATGGAAAGACTAACGAATTTAAATCAAGAATCACTTCGTTTGTAATTAGATGTAATCAAGTTGTAATTGTATTAAAAAGATCGATTTTCTGGAAAATCGATTCCAAATGTGTTGGATAGTTGAAGTCAGCATGGAAAGACTAAGGAATGTAAATCAAGAATCACTTCGTTTGTAATTAGATGTAATCAAGTTGTAATTGTATTAAAAAGATCGATTTTCTGGGAAATCGATTCCAAATGTGTTGGATAGTTGGAGTCAGCATGGAAAGACTAAGGAATGTAAATCAAGAATCACTTCGTTTGTGATTGATTGTAACCAAGTTGTAATCGTATTAAAAAGATCGATTTTCTGGAAAATTGGAATAGTTGGAGTCAGCATGGAAAAGCTAACGAATGTAAATCAAAAATCACCTCGTTTGTGATTGGTTGTAACCAAGTTGTAATCGTATTAAAAAGATCGATTTTCTGGAAAATCGATTCCAAATGTGTTGGATAGTTGAAGTCACCATGGAAAGACTAACGAATTTAAATCAAGAATCACTTCGTTTGTAATTAGATGTAATCAAGTTGTAATTGTATTAAAAAGATCGATTTTCTGGAAAATCGATTCCAAATGTGTTGGATAGTTGAAGTCAGCATGGAAAGACTAAGGAATGTAAATCAAGAATCACTTCGTTTGTAATTAGATGTAATCAAGTTGTAATTGTATTAAAAAGATCGATTTTCTGGGAAATCGACTCCAAATGTGTTGGATAGTTGGAGTCACCATGGAAGAACTAACGAATGTAAATCAAGAATCACCACGTTTGTGATTGGCTGTAACCAAGTTGTAATCGTATTAAAAAGATCGATTTTCTGGAAAATCGATTCCAAATGTGTTGGATAGTTGGAGTCACCATGGAAAAGCTAACGAATATAAATGAAGACTCACCCCATTTGTGATTGGTTGTAATCGAGTTGTAATCGAATTAAAAAGATGGATTTTCTAGACAATCGATTCCAAACGGAACATTTTTAGCATAGACAGCTCTGATTCTGAGGTACGCGTAGATCGGTAGAGAGTGAAGGAGTGTTATTAGAAAAATCTGGTTAAATAATGTGATGTACTCACGTGTAGTGGGAGTAAGAAGGGCTGGCCTGTTCGATATGCGCAGCCGTTGAGAGGCCTTGCACGATGGCAGCCGAAGGATCCCTACCTGGCGAGGAATTTTGGGCTCCCGGTACAGCGTGATGGTAGCGCTGGCACATTTCGGCCAAATTCCACCCATGGGCATCCATATATTAACACTGCTTCTCTATTCTTTGGCGTACCATCCATTTCACACGCGTTGTGACACTCCCTCTTTCTTGGTCCTCCCCGTACGTTACGTTTAATTATTCACTTTCGCGTGTCGTTCATCACAGACAAGATCGGCACAACGGAAACCGCGACGAATGACACTCGCGTAATTATCGTCCGCGGGTTGGATTCCGAAAATCGAAATATCGCACTCGTAAACCACGCGGATCCTCGACGACGACGCGGATCCTTCTTCGTACGGCCGGAAACCGCTGGACGCTGGGAACAAAACAAACGGTCGACGTTAGCGGGTATCGGGTCTTAGCAAAACGATCCGCACACACGCACGCACAGTAGACGAAGAGAAAATCGAAGTAATAATGAAATTACAGGCGGACGAAACGGGATCGCGATACGAACGTAAAGATTACGGATGTTCATTAAATAATACTCGAATTGATCGCGGCTTAAAGGCCGGGTTAATGAAAGTGTCTAGTTAATTTCAGCGGCAATGAGCTGGTAATAGAGTTCGTGTAATAGGAGGGTTCAAAACGCGATACGAGATAATCATCGGTATCTAGCTACGATATCGATCGACTACCATTCGAGCATCGACGGATTGAACGTTAATCACTACTGTACCGGGAAATCAACGGAACGGCTGTAATCGCTATCGATACGACGGTCGAGTTTCACCTAGTCTAACATAAGAAAGGTTAAGACTCGTGAAATTGATCCAACTTCGAGGCTGCCTATGTTTAATGCATCAAATTTTAATTCGTGGCTATAGCATGGTCTACACGATACAGGGCGGTTCCTGAAATTGTGGAGCGATCGAGACGGAGGTTAACGATCGGAATATTTCCGATAAAAATGATCACGATATATACATATATCTTTCTCAACCTATTAAGAATTTAACCTGTCGATATATAAATTTTATGTGTTAGGTATTTATAGACGTCGTCTGAATTAGTTAAATTACAAATTACAATGCTTCTGCTTTGCTCTACCTTTAACGAGATCTGTCGTCGTGCTCCTACATTTGTTTATTTTGGGGAAAAATAATATCGAGTATCGTACGCTCCGAGGATCCATAAAGTGTTCTTGATGCAAAGGACATTTATGCTTTACATTTATACGACAACTACGTCCAGTAATTTTTTTTGTTATGTTTCTTTTCTTTTGCCGCGATATGAGATCCACGTTTGTTCGTCCTTTTACCATAAAACAGCTGCAGAACCACCTCCGGGCAACGATTTCGAGTCGACAAAATAATCAGCTCTTTTCAGAGCTACCATATTTTAAGGAAACGCAGGAAACCTCGAGTTTAAACTGACGAGCATTATGGGGAATTGCTCTCTAAACGTGTTTTGGCATTTCATTATGGGCCCCGAGCGGGACCTTTAAATTCTTTTATGGGCTATTCGTGGACTAATACAAGAAGCCAGGACTCTCGTTGTATTTCTTTTCTTCCTGTCGCAGTTGTACTTGTAAAGACTAATTAAAAATATAATATATAATAGAACTGACAAAAATATCGTAACACGTCACAGCTATTTCGGTAACTATATCCCGAGGGGTCGCGCTCCGGAACGAAATGAGTTTATTAACCAGTTAAGTGTGGTTTGACGACTATATCCGTCATGCAGATGTGGCAGAATTTTGTGTCATGACGACTATATCCGTCATGCGTAAAATTTTGATACAATTTGATATTTAAATTGTAATTTTGGCGAAAACTAAATTATATTCGTAAATTTTAATACGTTTAAAATGTTTCGAGGTCAAGGCAAAATGAAACAAACAAATAAAAATTATAAATAATTACTATAAAAAAACCACATATACTACGAATTAGTTTTCGTAAATGTATCGTTGTCTTTTATTAGTCATCACAGAAGCAATTACGGATTCATATATTCATTATGCATTGTACCATGCTTCGCTCAACGCCATTCTCTAACAGCAAATTAAAGTAAGAAATTGATTTTTCATGTTTTTTTTCGTTCATATACAAAATATTTATGTTAATTTCAGTAAATAAATAAATGTGAGTAATGAAATGAAAAAAATAAAAGTCATTTTATTACAACCTAATTTCATATTACACATACTCTGTGTTTGACGTCTATACCCGTCCATCGTTTGATTATCGCGACACACACTGGTGCGCGCTTTGCAAAAAGATCGCCACAGCTAACTGGTTAAGGTGACCATAATTTACTCCGAATGACTGAATCTATTAATTTCAAAGCATCTCTCGTACGGGTTTATAGTTTACGTTGACAAATTTATACAGAAGTGGATTAACATTTTTTTAAATAAACGCGTAAAAATTGATATTTCAGAAATCTGTTTGCTTGATTAAATTCGTTGCCAGAAAAAAACAAAACATGCATATAAAACAATTTTTCTACATCGAGTGGTTTGGAGATACTGGTGAAAACTTGTCTGTCATTCCAATCTTTGCCGATTGTTTCTACCCCCAAAAAATTTTTATGGGAGATTCTAGAAGCCAAAATAGGACGAAAATCAAGGATATTAATTTGTTGATCGAGGCTTCGTTAAAAAGTTATAGAAACTTTTCCGGCCACACAGTATATTTTCGGTAAAGAATTTTTTTCTCGAAAATGGTTAGGATTTCGAGGGTATCTCCATTTACCAAAAATGATTGTAATTGACCCCCGCAACCGAAAATAATTTTTCCAGAACGATTTGAAATTTTTTTTTACACCGAAAAATTTCTGCACCTACTCGAATTTTTTTCTCGAAAGTGCGTAGGATTTCGGGAGTATGTGTAATGACCAAAAATGATTGTAATCAATCCCTGCAATCGAAAATAATTTTTTTAGAACGATTTGAAAAATTTTTTTTGTCGAAAAATTTCAGCACCTTCCCGAATTTTTTTCTCGAAAGTGGGTAGAATTTCGAAGGTATGTCTATTCACCAAAAATGATTGTAATCGATCCCTGCAAGCAGAAATAATTTTTTCAGAACGATTTGAAATTTTTTTTCTCGCCGAAAAATTTAGGCACTCCTACCTTGTCGATTTTTCTTAAAAATTCGTTCTTTATTTTTAATAAATTTGGTTGGCGCTGTATAGAAAAGTTTTTTAATACTTTTTTGCAGGTATCCATAAACTCTAGTTTCCCCCAAAATTTCAATGAAATATATTCACTATTGTAGGAGTTATGGCAGTTTGAAAATTGGACCACTTTTATAGGGTTTTTCTCACTTTACGGTGTTAAGGACCAACTTTTCGAATATTTTTGGAATTTCTTACCCTGTATAATGAGATACAAATTAGAAAATAAATTATAACACACAGCAACATTTTTGACTATAATAGCTCCACTGTGAGAAATTGTAGGACAGTTGAGAACAGACTATTTGTAGGTCATAGGTATTGTTTTAAAACCACAATTGATAGATACCGATAATGGGATTAAATCGAATGTAAAAAATTGCAGATAATGAATATGTGACTTCATACAGAATTATCGAGAATTAATCTGTTATTGGAAGCAAACTGTGAGAGATACGTTTGCACTTGTACGGACTATAATGTTTATAGAACGTAGGTATAAAATTTATACAGACAAACAGTGTACGCGTTGCAAGTTTAAACCAGGACAGTAAACGTATAAAAAAATAAAAATTCAAATAAAAAAAATGATCGATCATGTGAATCTTTTGTTCGATAAATTCGACAAAAGAGTTACTCATGCGATGTTTTGACATATAATAAAATTATAATAATAAAAGTAACAATAACAACGATAGAAATCACAAAATTTAAAATTATAAAAACATCGCTCAAATAGCCTTCCATTTCTCGAATCTTCATAAATGGGTAAAATTACTTTAAAAACATCATTGGAAAGTGCTGGGTTTTTGTTTATAATTGTCCAAATTATTAACTGTTCCAACACATTTTCATCTCCCAAATCCTTGTTTTTCTGAATAGTATTACTTTCCAAAAAAAAAGAAAAAAAAAGAAAAAATATCGATTTGCTGACTGCCTGGTGCCCTTAAGAGGTCTCGGTACACCGTTCAGAATTTGGACTCGAAACGACCGATCTTAAATATGAAATGGCCGTTTTTTCTATTCGATGATTATGTATATCCTGATTGTCCCGTCTGACGAACGATCCAATTACGAGCTAAATAGGCCGCCAATAATTTCGGCCGTTAAGTGGCGCGTTGCAGCCTGGCCGGCTTTAAAGTTATAATTTCCTCCCGAGGAATTAATCGTCGACTACTGGGTTGGGCACCATGGGTACGCCGTTTTCCTCGTCGCCGTCGCGATTGGGTGTTAATCACGCCGGTGACCACGATATATCGCGCGGCCGGTCAATCGCCAATAAATTACTAACGAGAGTTATCTCGAGGAGCGGACAGTAAAACGTTGCGTTTCTCTTTCTTTGGGACGCAATTAACCGGCAGAGAATTGCATACGTTTTAGCACCTAAAACTATGAAACCAGATACCGCGCGTGCACGGTGCTCGATTACAAACGCGACCCGCGTATCCTTCGCGCGTTGCAAACTTTATAAATGAACCCGAAGTTCCGTCCGTTTCATCTTGTACGCTCGCTACGAACGATCCTTTTTTATTCACCCTCAAAGTCAACGACACGCAAACACGTCGAGATTTTTGTCACCGCGAGTCCATTAAACACCGGCTCGAGAGACCTCCGAGTTGGAATAATGGTTCCTCCGTTTGCGATACGGCCAATTTGATTTATTACATTTTAAAAGGCTTTCTCTCGTTTCGAGGCTCGCGGTGATTCTTTAAACGAAAACAAAATTCTCAAGCTTTTCTCCAACGTTCATGGAGAACGATATTGAAAGGCTGGAATGGAGTAAAATCAATGTTGCAACGTTGGAGTAACTTTTAGTGTGACGAATGAAGTATTTGTTTTTCTGAATATTTCACACGATTATTACAATGTTCTATTTTGTTTACTATTTTCTATTATTTCTCCAACTTTTCAATCTACTTTCTACTAGGGGCCAAAATAAGACGAAAATCAAGAATACCAATTTGTTGATCGAGGCTTCGTTAAAAAGTTATTAACGTTCAAAGTTCCGCCTGTAGGACGGCAATCTGCGTGCACGCGATAGTGGTTCTCACTCAGCGTGAGAAACTCTACTGACTGACGTATCGACAGCCTTACAGTTTTCTTAGTAAGTACCACTATCATGCGTGCGCAGCTGTTCGCAAAACAGAACTTTAAACGTTAATAACTTTTCAACAAAGCCTCCATCAACAAA